CACGTGACCAATTGCCAAAGCCTGAGAACAATTCAAGGCACTCATAGATCACCGTGAAATCCTTCAAGCTGTCTTGCAAAAGGGGTCTCGGGTATAGGAGGAGGATCTGGAGGACCGCGCCACGGCTCACAATCTATACCTAACTCATGCAGAGCCAGATTGGGACCTTGTTGTAAATGTGTGTAGTATCCCCGTTGCTCTGTGTGACGCCAAAGCTCTGCCGCCCCCTCCCGAGAAAAGTCTGCCCGGCAAATGCCGCCTCCCATAGGTGATGCATCCATCATGTACAGCATAGGTGCAGGAGCTGCGCGCAAATCTGTTTGCATGCACGGTGCCAAGAGGCTCAACATGAGCAACTCATTGATGCATTGATTGGACATATGGAAAGGAACATCGCCAGCCAAATTTTCTCCTTCGTGATACACTTGATCAAGGATAGCAAAAACTGGTCGCCTAAACAATGCCACATGGGTCCAACACCCCAAAAGCCCTTGTAAGATATTCCTTGTGATCACACCTTTGTAAACAATGATGCTTGTGATGAAGCACAACGCTGCCACTCGAGCCCTGGGAGCTGAGACACGTCCGGCTAGGCCATCGATTTCTGCCCCCAAAACAACCCCAGTTTCAACTTGTCGTTGACGTTTACCTGGGTGTGCTGTCAACTTCATCTGAGTGTATGCTTGTTGCGCTGCTGCTGGAAGGGATCTCAAGGGTGAATAATCTTTGCTAACACGTTGAAGCCCTATAGGGTCATCGATGGTGAGCAGCTCATAGAACGGACCTCGAGGACAAGGTTTCCGATATTGAAGTGCTTCTGATGGCCTCATACAACCAGCTAAAGACCGCGACAAATTAGTATGGCTTTGTTGAGCCACCTCAACTGCGAGGGCATCCCCCATAGCCAACGTGCCCAGACAAACAAAACATTCCTTGTTGATCCAAGCTGGATTGAAGCACTTCAAAACCTCACCCCAATAGCATTCCTCTTTGCTCTCTGAGGAGATACCTTAAACGTGTAGTAAAACTCGCAAAGGTCGTCCGACGAAATCAACAGCTTCTCTGCAGGGCCCAACTGGATGGAGGTGATGGTGTACCCTGGTGCAAGAGTCTTGCTATAATGGGTGTTGCGCTTATAGACTTAGGACCTACACTTATAAATAAGCTAAGGGAAGTTTTAAGTTCATCATCTGAATGTATAAAACACCTTTCTAACAAGAAGGTAAGTCATAAGTTTTCAACGGTTTACAAGTTACATGTGTCTAGATGATGACATTATAACTACTTGTGTAACCTCAACCAAGTGTGGACAAGTAATTTCCATTTACATATAGGTTCCCTGTAAGTTCTGCGCGATGAACCAGGTTCAAATGCAACCGTGCTCGCCGGCTCGCCTTTTTGCTCATCCATGCGCGCGTGGCTCGCCCGCACGCATGTGGCTCGCCCACGCGCTCGCGAGGTCTTCCCGCAATGGCGGCGCGTGCAGGAGAAGCCCATATGGGGCCATTGATGTTACCCAACGGCGCCGGAACGCTCACAGCCGCAGATAGAGATACGACTTGGCAGCAGTTCCAGGTGAGCGCAAGCGTTCGCTGGCGAGCGCAATGGGGGGAGAGGCGCCTATCTCTCAGCGGACTCCAGATGATCGCAGCCCATGGAACGGAGGGTGGGCGGGCAGCTCCTGGACCTACCCAACAAGAGTTCCAGCAGCTTGAAAGGCAGGCAGCCGCGATGCAACAGCACCTCACACATCAACAAGGGTTGCTGCAGTGGTTGCAGGTTCAACTCCAGAAAGCCGAGCAAAATGCTGCAGCTGCCTACCATGAATCCCTAAAGGCCAAGGATGAGGCCGAAGCTGCCAAGGATGAGGCCAAAAAGGCTGTCTCGGACATGGAGCAACATATGGCGCGGCGGCGCCGAAAGAGAAAACACTATACCATTCCATGCCCAAAGTTGGCCGTGGCAGAAGCCCTGGCAGAAGTGCATCCAACCAGGATCGCGTGCCCCTGCAAAGTGTACGCCGGGAAATGGAAGCAAGCCCGATCAGCTCTGATTCTGGCCAAAACGGCAATCGCCTAGTGAGCGCTTCAAGTGAACAGGGAGGTCCGCCCCCTGGATTGCAGCCCAAGGTAAAGCCACGTAAGCGCGATCCGAGCCCAACTTCGCCAGCTGAAACTGGCGACGGAGAAGATGCAGTGTCCAACAGTGGCGAGGCGCCAGTGGCAGAGGCTCCCTGCAAGAATGAGCCAAGCGCATCGTCAGAAGATTCTGATTCTGATGTTTCTTGGCGCTGATTTACTTTTTGAATTTTCAATCATTTTTGGTCACTTTGGTCATGGCAGCAAACGTGTTGACTTGTAATTATCTTGGCTCATCCAGCATGGTTGCTTTTAATTTTTGCCACCGTCTGAGGCTGAAGATGAGCAGGGCGCTGACAACACTGCCGAGGTCAAGCCAGAGGGTGGCTTCGATGACATGCCAGCGCCTGCAGTGGAGAGCCCAAAAAAGTCATGTAAAGAAGAAGAGAAAGCAGAAGACGCCACGCCATTTCTTTCGCCTTCTGCGCCTGTGCAGTAGGATGTTCTGCGTGTTTCATGGTGCCCACCAGTGGCTTCAGGCACTCAGCTGCAGGGAGTTTTGCAGAGTCCCGGAAAAAGTCCGACGCAGCTCTGGAGATCTGGCGACTGCAAAGGTTTCGTATGTGTTCTGGGACCCTTGTGTTGTGAGCCCCCGTGTTTAGTGGAACTCATTGGGAAGCCCAGCCAATAAAGACCTTGTGTGTTATGCTGCAGGCTGCTCAAGCTCGCAAATGCCGAAGGCTCGCCTCCAAAACAAGTACCCGTTGAGAAAGCAGGATGTGAAGCTGAAGAAGATTCCCCAAAACCTGTCTTTCTCCGACCATGTAGCTTTGTTGGGCGATGATGACTTGGATCACCGCGGTCAACGCAAAGCAGTCCGTGGCGAGTTGGCAAAGGCCTTGGAATGCAAAGGGCCATGTGGCCCCATCAAACGATCCCTGTCTTTGAATATCGATGGCCAGGCTTGGGATTGGCCATACTTGTGCCCCATCGCCTTGCTCGACAAACTGTGCAGTTTGCAGCCTAGACTGGGGGATTTGATTCGCTCTGGCACTGGCCCATCCTTGGCAATCTACATGGACGAAATCAAGCCAGGCAACGTGTTGCGGCCAGACCTTTCCCGGACTGTTGCTTGCTTCTACTACACCTTCACCAATTTGCCTTCATGGTACATTGCCAGGAATGCAGGTTGGTTCTTCTTTGCTGCATTCCCAGCAAAACTGGTGGACAAATTGGATGGTGGGTATTCATGTCTCATGGCCAAGATGCTGACAGTGCTTTTTGAAACGGAGCCATTTATTTTTGAACGAGGCTTCCCACGCACCTCATCTACTGGCACCTTTCTGTGCCAAGCTCCTTTCAGGTTGCTTTTGGCGGATGAGAAGGCCCTCAAAGAGCTTTGGGGTCTACGTGGAGCAGCAGGCACCAAACCATGTTGCTTGTGCGTGAATGTCCTTGGCCACATGACACCGGACCAAATACTCGCAGCTAATCTCGGATGGCTTGTCCACTACAGCTGCCCTGACAGGAGCCAATGGGCCCCACACAGCTCAGCAACTTTCCAAGACATGAGGGACCGGCTTCACACGGTCAGGGGCAACAAGAAGCAATGTAACGAATTGGGGCAAGCGTTTGGCTTGCAATTTTCCAGTTCTCATGTGCTATGGCATCCCACCATTGGGCCCAAAGTTTGCCCAGTTCAACACACAATGTACGACTGGATGCATGTTTTGGTAGCTGCTGGTGGGGTGGCGCAATACGAGCTGAATGAATTTGCCAAGTTGATCAAAGCTTCCGGACTCCCTTTGTCGGCCATCGACACATTTGGGCAAGTGATAGTTTTGCCAAAGGCCCGCTCCAAACTCCCCAAGAAGTTTTGGCAGGATCGTGTCAACACTGAAGAGAACAGCCACTTGTAGTGTTTTGCCACTGAAGTTTTGGTTGCTGTGAGCGTCCTCAATTTGTTTGCCAAAGAGGTTTTGGCACCTGATGGCATCCTTCCCGAACATGGTCGGCGCTTGAGTCTTCTAGCTGATGCGATAGACATCTTGTCACAGGCGCTTAACCTCATTGATGAATTGCAAGCAACCGTTGACCAACATGCTGTTTGCTACAAGAGGCTCTATCCAGCTTGTTGCAAACCAAAGGGCCACTACTTGATGCATCTCCCCAACTTGCTGCTCAAGTTTGAGAAAAACCTTTCTTGTTTTGGCCCAGAGCGGAAACACAGAGCTGTCAAAACATTGGCAGCTCATGTTTTCAACGACACCCTTTGTGACCACGTGACTCTTCGAATGGGCCATGATGTCTTGCAAGATTTCAAAGGCAACCAAAATTTGGTCGAACCTTCTTTTTTGCAAGGCCCTACTCGCCAAATCCCAGACGGGGCTCACTTGCTTAGTCTCGGCATGGGGCAACATGATGTGATGTCAGTGTGCACTGGCAGAACGTTGATTACACCAATTGGACAGCTCTCTCTCTCTCTCTCTAGGAGATGTTTTGTTTGCTGCGGAGCTTGGTGCCCTCATTGTTTGCGCAGCTTTCTTGGAAGTGTTTCTCATTACAGGTGAGCGAAAGTTCATCTTCCAGGTCTCAGGAGCCAAGACTTTCTGATGGAATGGTGTGACCGCTTGAGGCCCATAGTATATACCAAACGGTCTTGCGGCTCCATTCAAGCCTGCCTGAGACCAGCTGAAATCTTGAGGCTCGCCCAAGAAAATTTTGACCGTGGTGCCTGATCCTGGCTGGTTTGAAAAAGTTAGCATGTGTGGGCGTGCGAAGTCACAGTCTTTTTCAACCAAGGGCTCTTAAAACCCTGTAAGTAATCACATCGTGTGTTCGCATCCTTCTCACACTTTCAGTTTTGTAGAAAGAACGTCTTCATTTTCCCCATTCCAATTCACTTTCCCAAGTTGATCACGCATGACTGTGGCCATTTACCACTATGTCAAGCCAGGAAAGGAAGCTTGGAAACTTTTTCTGCTGACTTTGAAGGCTCGCCTCTTTGAAAACATGACTTCACAGGCGAGCGTGCCCCATACCCCCGAGTCGGCTGCCAGCGTGGTGGAAAGTCTGGGCGACGCAGCCCTCTTGACCGAGGAGGAAGTCACATCGAGCCAGTGCTGCACTTGCCACAAGCCCATTGACAAGGACAATTCTTTGGTCATTGTTCGGGCTGGCGTCAAGTCTTCGAATGAGATCCGCCGTTGCCGGCCTTGCCACAGCATGCGCAGCGCCATTGAAAGGCTGAAGCGCAACCATTTTTACTTCTGCGGATGGAGACAGAGTCTCCAGCTTCTACCGGGAGAACCCGAACCTCAGGGGAGAGGATCTCCGCAAGAGATTGGAGGAAATTGTTCAGGATTGGAAGATCAGCACCACCCGGTATGAGTTCAACCAAGAAGCCGATTTTGTTGAGGAAAGTGACCTCAGGGCAAAATATGCTGACAAGCCCGAGATCGCCGAGAACATCCTGAAGAACAGCCTTTCCTTCTTTTGTCCAATCAAGAAGGTGATCCTATACGCCGACCCAAAGTACCAGGCCAAGGTGTCTGACCAACATGAACTTGGGCATTCAGAGAAAAGGAAGGGCCTGGATGACACCACGGATGCCAAAGCTCCAAAGAGACCAAAGAAGGCCGACAAGAATGGCAAGGATGGTGATCCTGCCGACGAGCCCAAGCTCAAAGCGGGAGAAAAGAAAAAGGTCGCAAAGAAGGCTGAGCAAGTTTCTTCCAAGGTCCTGCAAATGAAGGACACCTTGGAAAAGTGCTCCTCGTTTGGAGATATGATCCCACCGTACGTCATCAAGGCTGCGTCGGATGCCAAAGACAAGTCCCAAGTCGCAATCCAGAACGCCCAGACTTGCCTTGACTCTGGCAAAGGGGATTCCAGCCACCTCATTGAGACCCTGGATGCTACACTCAATGAGTTGAGTGAGGGTTTGGCCAGGGTGAAAAACCAGTTGGAACAGGCTTCCAAGTTCAAGTGATTAGATGAGGCTCGCCCATCTAAATCACACACGCGCCATGCTGTGGTATGCCCAGCAACAGTTTGATCACAACTGGGAGTTGTGCGGTGGGAAAAGGAATGCGTGACCAATCAAATGTGTCTTATGAAGAAAGACTTGTTCATCATCTCTTTGGAAATAACTCATCCCCAGTACGAAGATAAGAATGCTTTTGAGCGAAATAGAACATCTTTGTTACAAATACTGAATTACAATGAACTCGTTTGATGATACAAGCCGTCATCAAACACATGCATTGTTGTTAATAATAAGGAGCATTGTTGCATTCGCATCCAACACCATTAAATGCTACATTAAGTATCAGGGGCGTATCAGGCGGCGTATCAGGGGGGTATGAGGGGTATCGGACAACTATCAGGGACAGTCAGTGTATCAGGGGGTATCAGGAAACTATCAGGGACGATCAGTGTTATAAGACGGTTGGTCACTGTTTTATCTCCACGATCTATAGATGAAGTTTCTCCCCACTAGACTTCCAACTAGTCATGAACAACACGGTATGTTTCTTGATGGACCAAGTGCCTCATTGAATACCTCCATTATCATCAGTCAGTCAGTTGTTTTTTTGTAATTTGGGTGTTGGTTGTAGTAAGTATTCTTGAGATGTGATATAGGTCTCAAGTCTTTTAGGGCGAGCCTCCACACTTCATCGTCGCTGGGCGAGCCTCAGCCATGAACATTCTGCCGAAGAGGGTCTTTGTTTTGGTTTCATACCGTTGCAAGCTAGCCATTTTTACGCTGTACCGCTACCAGAAATCATTATCATTACCAAGCGAGGGTGATGTTGATGAATCTGGTTGACTGAAGCAAGTGCTTCACAACACCCAATTGAGCCATAAAGGGTATTTGGGTTCATAAACTACTTGGTAGTTAAACATCATCAAAAAAGGGGCCCACCATTACAATTTTGTTTGCTTTGGTTTGAAACAAAGTTTGTAACAAATTTTTCACCCCGACAGCCTGTAGCTGCTTTGGACCAAGCCACTGTAGTTGAGGCTCGCCCAACAATGGCACCAAAGAGGATTATCAGGACCACTTTGGATCCAAACGCATGGGAGGGCTTGTGTCCGGCCCTTCCAGCGTTTAAACGGCCCTTGTATGTCGCAACTCCACGCATTGGCATCGATGGGTGCGGCACTGCCTTGGACGCGCTTGGCGTCAGGTATCAGGCAAACAATGTCTATGACTTAGAGCACCGGTACCAGGCCTACCTCACACAGCACCTAGGTGGAAATGTGCAGTTGCACCTGGGCAAGAAGGACGGCGACCTTTGTCAGCTTCAACTCTCTGATGTCGAGAGGCCTGTCGACTTGCTTGTGAGTGGACCACCATGTCCACCCTGGGCAGGCCAAGGAAATCACAAGGGCCAGCATGACCACCGAGCTCATGTGTTCCTCATTGCGATGAAGGTTTGCATTGCCTTAATCAAGGTCGGGGAGTTGCATGCCTGCTGCATAGAGAACGTCAAAGGAATCTTGGCCAAAATCAAGGGTTCCACCTGTTCCTTCATGGACCAAATCTTGCACATCCTCCGAGTTTTAGTGGGGAGTTCACACCTTGCAGGCTTCTTCATACTTGCTTGCCCAGCAGAGAACCAGGGTGTTCCTACGAGGTGTTCGGAAGAGTGACTTCCCGGCTGGCATTCCAGCTCCACTGACTCCCTTTGGCAGCCGCCAACTCCAGGAGTTCCTCAGCCCAGATTTGCCCAACTGCACGTTGGAGACATTGCCTGAGGTCATGCGAAAAAACCTCAAAGATGCACAAACTCATTTGAAGGCAATGCCTCAAGATGGCCACTTGGACGCAGCAGACCTGGTCGTCTTCCCTCTCGACCGCGCAGATGGAAAGGCGTACAAGAGGAACTACACCACCAATTTGGTCCCTACTTTGACCACAAACAACACGTACTTGTTTGTGGTTTCGCTGGACTTCTCCCGTCCAAATGGCCCACGGAAGTTCCTGAGGTTTCTGCACCCTTCGGAGAGGATGGTTCTGCAAGGGTTTTCGCCCAGTGTTCTGGAAGGGTCCAGCGATACCTTGAGGGTGAAGGCCAGCGGTAATGCTTACCCTGTTCCGCTCACGATGGCAGTTCTGCATGGCGTCCTTCACCAGTTGGCAGGGAGGATCCCCCAGAAAACGAAGGTGGTGGGATCCTTGCTGGACCTAGCAGTGGCTGACGCCTGCCACAACTTCGAGGTGTACATGGACGAGTGCTCTCAAGGATGTTCTGGAGGCTCGCCCCAGACAAAGGCCATGAAACGACCAGCGGCCAAAGCCAAGGCCGCCAAGAAAGCGCCAAAGAAGAAACCAGTCAAAGGAAGCAGCAAAACGGTGAAGAAAGCATCCAAGAAGAAAACACCGATTCAGCGCCGCCAGTACTACAAGTACCGGTTTTTGTCATCGTCTTCCTCGTGAACTGAGGATCTTCAGCCCAAGGATTTGCTCATGGAGTTTTGGAGGCTCGCCTCGATACATTTCCAAACTGCGTAGCCAGACTTTCTGTCATGAAAAAGGTCTTGAGTGCTGTGCTGGGCAGTATTCGGTTCAGTCAACGTAGGGTTCTATAGGGTCCCAACTTTGATCCCAGAACCTTTTCCACCAGTTTTCCATGGTCAGGGTGGCTTCACTATATAGTCTTGAACCATTTGACTTCGACAGTTCGCACATCCTCAATTTTGCACATCCTCAATTCTGTGGCTCACACTTCACCCAACCAAGGCTCGCCTGGTTTGCATTCAAGAGGTTAGCCCTTGAAGTCTTGAGGCCCTCACTCATGGCAGCCCAGCGAATGAAAGACACGCTGGCTTTCTTGACCACTTTGAAAGCTGCAGCCGCCGATGGTAGCAGTTCCTTTCAGGAGGCCCACAGAAAGATTTTGGAGAGCTGCCTGGTAGATCTCAAGGATTTGAATCTATCAATGCCAGATGCCACCAGCATACTCCGGGATGTCCAAGCAGCTGAAATTCCTATGTGGATGAAGGATGGCATCGTCGAATGTGTGCAACAAAAGGTTGCAAATGGAAGTGTGAACGGCTCAGGCCCTGTGAAGAAAGTTGCCCACAACGCCTTGCAGAAAAATTTGCATTTGCAACACTACCTCACTGCAGAGGAGTGGGAGATTCTTCAAGGAAAGCAGGGCTGCAATGTCAAGATCTTGGCTCTTTGCAAGCGCTTTGTGGCCTTGGGCCTTACTTGCCCTTCAGAGCTCACAAGTGTTTTGGCGATATCACTCCTGTTGCTGGCTTCCCACCAAGGTGCGCCAGAGAATCTCACAGTTGATGGGATGCAGGTATACCATATGCTTCAGGACTTCAAGTCTGCAGTGAAGAATTGCTCGAAGAGCCGCAAGAGGAGTGAACTCTTGCTGTACCCTCCTTGTCCCCAAGAACTCCCAGAAGCTCTTTTCAAGGCTGCTTACCCCGCTGGCCAGGTACCTGTGAAAAATCCTTTGGGTGAATGGGCCTTGAAGGCCTTGGCCGCTGACCTACCAGCCCGGAATACAAGGACGGTGGTTCGAGGGACTCGGCATGCTCCTTCTCCCACTTGCACTGGCAATGTGGGGTCGCAGGTTCTGAGTATGTCGGAGCAGATGTTGGCCGGCCAGGCGCCTCAAAAACAGCTTGGTTTGACCTATCTTACCAACAAAAGGAAGCAGCCCTTGGCCATCATGAATGGACCAGCAGAAGTCGAGGCTAGCCCAGCTCCAAGTCCAAGCCCAGAGCCTACCAAACCAAAATCGGAGGACACTCCACAAATCAAGGAGACCATACCTGTGGAAGTCACACTGCCCAAAACGGTGGAAGCCATGGCCGCTTCTGTGAGGGCACAGCTCCAACACAACAAGGGTTCCGGTAAGCTTCCACACAGAAGGCCAAAGTGGCCAAGAAGACCACGAAGAAGGCCGCAAAGGCCAAGAGCAAAAAGCCAACGACCAGCCCCAAGCCAACCAGCGGTGAGTGCACTTTGCCTTTCCCAGGCACCAAAGCTCAGAAACCCATTCACCATAGTGGGTTCACCATCTATGTGTGCCCGAAATCGTTCAATTTCAGGGCAAAACGAGATGGCGAGAAGAAAGACAAGGCATTCTCATGGAAAGCATCTGAGCCGACAGCGGCCTGGGCAAACCTACTGGAGCATGTCTCCGCTTAGAAGGCAGAGGCTCGCCCTGCGCCAAGAATCTGCAATTTGGAAACACGCCTGGGGAATACTCTCAACTACTGGCCGGGGCCGTCCATGGCTGCATTGTAGACCCCAAAACGGGGGTCTAACATCATAACCCCTAGGCCTAAGCACCAAAACGCGCAAAGGTGTTAGACCCCCCCCCTCGGGGGATGGGGAGAGGAGTCTATGATCGTACGACTCTGACACAGGGATACCATGCTAGACCCTCCCGTGTTGGCGGCCGATCTTTCCTTTTCAAACCATGTCCCAAAATGTCCCAAACCCATGTGCCCAAACCATGTCCCAAACCGAGCCAGTCTACAGAATCTTTTCACATCTGTGGAGGAACCAAAGAGTATACAGTATACATGAGCATGACTTCTTTGTTTATTTGTTGGACCTGTCACAGGGAAGTTGCAATACGGGTTTGTATTTTTTGCGTGTACGTCGTACGTGTTGATGTAATTGTTCCCACCAGTCAAAAGGGTCGTGCGTTTGTTTCGCGCCATGTCTTGTTCAGAAAAGGAAGAACTTTGTGCGGACGGGATATGTGGCAGCGTCTTTTGACATCCAGCAAGATACCTCTCAGGCAGGCTGTTGCGTTGTTAGCTGGGAGATGTTGCATGTGACCGAGTATGGTGGTTTGGTGCATGTTTTTCATGTTTTTCTTCCCCGCACAAGGTTGTTGTCTTTGCAGTTTTGCACCAGGATCTTACGTGCAAGAGTGGCTTCATGCTCCTGTTGGAGATGATTCTGTCGAATCTTGTCCTTGAACAGGTTAGACTGTTTTGAGGGTCTAC